ATTTTGCCATTCCTAAACCAAACACTGATTTTTGCTAAAACAGCCTAGAATGTAATGATGCAGTAGTGTGAAATTATTCAATACCAATTGAAATAAGGAAATCCAACACACTAAAAATTTTCAAAAAAAAAAAAGACAAAATAAATTGTAATGTAACTGACGGCGCCCGGGAAGAGAATCTTCTGATGACAGGTTTCCGTGCCTAAATAAAGTTACAGTCAAACTACAAGAACTTTCGCGCTTTCTCTTTTGTAGTCTGTATAGTCTGTTGACATTTTCTGTAATTTGTTCTGTATTACGGTTACCAATTTGATAGACAAATACCGTGACAAAACACAACGAAAAATATAGCCTTAATTTGCTACAAAGTATCTTATGAAACAAAGAAAACTAAATTTTGTCGCCATATTTGCTCATAATTGAAATCATTTGGTATAACCGCTGCAGAAAAGCTGAACAATTTACAGAAAATTACAACAGATTGCGGAAGTGGGAAGGTTCTTGTATTTTGACTGTAAATCAAGTCAATGAACTAAAATACATCTCCTTACAGCATCAATCGAAAGATGGTTCTCAAACCAAATCTCGTGACTCGGACGATCGTCGTTATCACTCGCTATCAAATAGCGTCATCTCAAACACTGGATCTATGGTCTCAAATTATTTGGCATCTACCAGTATCGGGCGTCTATACCCGCACGCCTTCCCACAGAACTCGAGCCTCGCACGAGGTGATCACAGACGGACATTCGCTACCATATGCCGCAATGACTCGAGTGGCCATCTTTCGCCTGGCACGAGCCAAAGTAACAATGTTAATAAACTTCGGTTTGGATCGCGTAAAATCTTAGCCAATAGAAACACGTATCACGTGTCCGATAGCGATACGAGATTTTCCGATTCCGATACCACTTGTCTCGAGTCGCATTTTAATCCGCACTTACGACGAACATTAAGTGCCAGCGGTCTCGCGTGTAAGTTACAACCGAATTCTGGGAAAGTTCGTACCGGAAATACGTCATCAGTTATACCTCCTGGTATAATTTCACTACAGAATACATCAAGTACTGGGGTAAAGGTAACCGCACACAAGTCGCCTCTCGGGCTCAGTGTGATCTCAGGACCCGCTCCGATATCGTATAAGAGTATCACCAAGGCTGGGGGACATACGGGAAATATTGGAAGGTAAGGGTGTTTGGGGAATTAGAATATACATATATGTGTCACTAGTTGCATATTTTCCTGTTCAATAATGCTAGTGGTGTTGCTTTGTCATGAGGTAAAGTAATATCCCTCTTATAAATCACAACTAATTCACGTAAAACAAGCCTTGTTCTATTCAAGTCAAACCTGAATTATACTCATTTGGCGGCGGTTTGTTTGAAAGCTGATAAACTTAACCATACGTTAACCTGGGAATGAGGTCAGGTTAGCCTAAACTTCGTAGCAAACTTGTCTTCCCAACGATTTTTTCATAACTTTGGAAATATTTCTTTACAATTTTCTTCTCTAAGTTTGAAAATAAACAGATGTGCAGAGATACATAAACTAAAAAACAGCAGGTTAAATTCTGACCAAGGGGCAAGGGTTAGCGCTAAACAAGCTTTCAACAACTGCACGGTTCCCGATATTGAATGGTATTGGTGAGGGAGCCGGGTTTGATTTTTACGATACCCTCATCTGTATGTGAGAAGAGTAGTGACTCTACCAAAACATTGGAACAATACCAGGGCTGCAAATTGACTCTACCAAAACATTGAAACAATAGTGAATACGGAACCGGAATGATGTATGTTGTATATTTGATTTAGGTCAAGTAAACTAGGTCAACGTATTAGATCAACGTCCAGTGACCCGTCGTGTAAGGTTAGTATATCCGCTTTTCAAACCCAGAAAAAGTGGTTTAATAATTAGGGACCGCTCATTATTTATGGCTGAGTGTGGCGCCGAGGAGAAAAGGGTTGGATAAACAAATTTTTGAGTAAGGCCAAAAAAAAAGTATGTGGGTTTCCGGTTTCCCGACCCTACCTAGCTTTTCGACGTCGAAATCCCGACCCTAAACGTTTTTATTGGATCATGCCTCAGTGGATCATGCTTGTAAGTGTTTCCACTTAGAGGAAAAGTTTGTGGAAAATTGAAATTTGAGGCAATATTAGGGAAATTTATCTTTGGATGTGGAAGCACTGACTAAACAAAATGGCGTCCGCTTATTCGGAAAATTAAAAAAAAAGTTTAAAAAAAAAGTCAAAACCGACCTACCCTACCAGAATTCCTACCTCTGTACCCTACCTAAGTTTTTATAAGAAGAAACCGGAAACCCACATATTTTTTTGGCCTAAGTAAACGGTTGGGTAAATGAAAAACAAAACAACTCAGTGGTTGGGTAATAAAAATTTCTTGTCATTTCCAAAGCATGACTTAGGCGTAAAAAAATACCTGTGGTTCCGATTCCCGACCGACCCTATTTTTTTCTGCCGACCCTATTATTTTTTCAACGCGATTGACCATGCGACCCTATTTTCTCCAGGTGGTTGCGGGCTGCTCATACAGCGTGCCAAAATGGCGTCTGTTGTCACTATAATTATTGAACCAAATTGCCTAAATTCGTCCATAGGAAATACGCACCTCTAGTTAATATTGATGTCGGGACTCTACTGCAAATCGCCCAGCAAAAAAACCCCGGCAAAACCATGAAAAAAATATTCAAAAAAAAAATTATTTCCGACCTACCGACCCTAATTTTTTCACGATATGAAACCGGAACCACAGGTATTTTTTTTACGCCTTACTCAAATAATGAAGCAATGTCAACAGTCATATGTCAATATCAACAGTCATATGTCTTGATCATTTTTCGATTTGTTAGGAACTAGGCAAATGGTGTCTGCATATCTGCAATGAAAGTATATGTGCAGATCGACAACATGAAACTCCAAACTGCAGATAATTGTACAAGCAAAACTCATGACACAGAAGTGGTAAAGGGCATGTGTGAAAACTGAACAGCATCCTTTTGTAAAGTTTTTGGCCAGGGGTGGGTATTTATTTTCAGTAATTGATATTCAACTTTTCAGGGGGGGGATAACTTTTTAATGATTGGATCAAGAAAAGTTTCAAGCCAATAAAAACATTTCTCTTTGGTACCACCTCAGTCATAAATAATAACTAGTCACTTACTCATTCACAGCATTGTTTCTGAATTATTTTTTTATTTTATCTAGCATCTTGAAGTAAGGGACCATCACGCTGTGGTTTTGAGCTAGCGTTTCAAAAGTCGTGCATGCAAAGATACTTTTCTACATCTAGTATAACTAGTTTTTTATATATAAATTATATTTTTAACAACCGAAAAAAACAAATTATACCTAAACATAAATAAATTTTGATATATGTTGTATATCGTATATATGCTTTACAGATTCTGGCTTTTTCATTCCGCGTTTTACAGATTCCAGCTCTTCTCATTGTACAGATGTACAGTCGCAGCTATTTCACATTCCAAGTTTTACAGATTCCAGCTTTTTTCATTCCGCGTTTTACAGAATCCTGCTTTTTTCATTGTACATATCGCAGCTCTTTCACAGTCCAAGTTTTACAAATTCTGGCTTTTTTCATTCCGCGTTTTACAGATTCCTGCTTTTCTCATTGCACAGATCGCAGCTCTTTCACAGTCGAAGTTTTACAGTCTTTACAGATTCTGGCTTTTTTCATTGTACAGATGTACAGATCGCGGCTTTTTGACATTCAAAGTTTTAAAGATTCTGGCTTTTTTATTGTACAGATGTACAGATCGCAGCTTTTTCTCATTCAAAGTTTTACAGATTCCGGCTTTTTTCATATTACAGATGTACAGATCGCAGCTTTTTCACACGGGCAAAGTTTTACAGATTCTGGCTTTTTTCATTGTACAGATCGCAGCTTTTTCACACCGGCAAAGTTTTACAGATTCCGGCTTTTTTCATTGTACAAATGTACAGATCGCGGCTTTTTCTCATTCAAAGTTTTACAGAATCCGGCTTTTTTCATTGTACAGATC